TGTGCAGGGACTGAACTGCATTACCGTTTGTTCAAGGACTGAGGTGCATTACCATCTGCGCAGGGAATAGGCTGCATTGTGTAGGATAGGACTGCCGAGCTACCCACTTGCTTATTGGAATCAGACACGTGTGCCTACTTGGGAAAATCGACAGACTCCGTTAGCGCTCTTCCTCAGGCAATAGGCCAGTGCCGAGCGCAGTCGTTCACACTCCTCCCCAACCAGTTGGGTCTAGACTTCACTTGGCCATAGGCGCCCAAGGCAGTGTGTAACAGCATGCCCCTCGTTAGGATCTAGGCAACACACAGCAGCGGTCCCCTACCGAGTAATACCCACACAGCGCCCGAAGCACACTCTTCCCAGGTAGCAGGATCTAAAATAGCAATCAGCTATGGGCACGTCATCCAATAGTGAGCGCTTAGCAAGATCAAGTCTGGTTACGGAGTGCTCGCACAATGGTTGATCACACAGTGCGCAGCAATGCACTCTTCGGCTGACATCCTGACAGATAGCGCAGAAGCAGTCATGCCACATCAGTAGCAGAGTGCAATCATCCAGCCGGGATCGGAAGGTGTGCGTAGCTCTATGCTAGCTCCCCGCAGCAACTCGCAGGGGCGCACGACTGCACTCAAGCTCCCAGCTGCATTCCACAGGCGTGCGCGGCTGCGTGCAAGGGAGCGACTGCACACAGGCTCCTCGCAGTAATGCACAGGTGAGCGCAAGCTCCTTGCAGTGACTCGCAGGTGCACACGGCTGCGCTCAAGCTCCTTGCTGCGTTCCACAGGCATGCCCGACTTCATGCAAGCCTGCGACTGCGCGCAGGCTCCCCGCAGTAATCCACAGGCGCGCACACAAGCTCCTTGTAGTGATTCGTGGGGGCGTGCACAAACTCCTCGCACTGTTTCGTAGTTCTGTGTGGCTGCGTGCAAGTTCCCTCATAGGCGAGCGGGACTGCGCGCAGTGTTCAGCAAGTGTGTGCAACCACGCGCAGGTTCCCCACAGGTGTGCACGACTGCGCACAATGATCAGCAAGTGCACGCGACCATGTGCAGACAGTGCAGGTACCCCAGAGGTGTGCGCAAGCTCACCTTGAAGACTTGGCAGCAAAGCTCCTGGTTCCGCGTGCACGGACAAGCGTACTTGCGGTGACAATCCGGCCCCGAGCGAGTGAACTCTTGATAGTTGTCTGGCCGCGCGAGCAACGAGCGAGCAGGTAACGTGGCGCTACTGCAAGCGGGCTCCTAGCAGCTACCAAGCAATAAATGTTCAAGCACTGCAAGCAGCAACGAGCGGGTCCTGACAACTATTCGACGGTGTGTGCATGGGCGCTTAGAGACACAAGTAGCCACCAATGGAGATCGGTAGTGGGCCATAATAGGGGCATGAGCTGCCCCCTATGGGCGTCCTCACTGTTGACCGGGACACGGGAAAGGTAGCAGTTTTAACCCCATGGGAGGAAGGGAGATAAAGAGAGAGAAGGGAAGACAAAGTAAAAGGGGAGAAGGGAAAGCGAAGGGCCATCGGTGGGCTCGAGCCGGTGGCCTTGCCGCCACTGATGGCACAAGCAAACCACCCCTCCTACCTCTCATGGTCCCGTTTCCTCCTCGCTCCGTCTCGCTCCTCCTAGTATCCTCCCAGTAGCTTAGCCTCTAATCCTCTGGAAGATTCAGCACCATTTCCACAGCAAGAGCAACTGGCCCCAAGGTTGGCTCCACCTCTCCTTATATTGTGGAGAGGCTAGGCGATAGGGCCCATGTGCTGCAGTTCCTCGCTTGAAGCTGGTGCCAGTCCCGTTCTAAAATTAGCGTGGGACTGCACTATTTTTAGAATGGGACTGGGATAAGCCCAGTTTGTGGGATCCGAACAGTCGGGCCTGCGCTAAAAATAGTGTGGGACTGGGACAGGCCCGATCCCAGAATACGAAGAGTCAGTCCCGTTCTAAAAATAGACCGGGCCCGTGCTAAGACAGGCCCAATTCCGGAATACGAAGGGTCTGTAGCACAGGACCCCCCTTAATTATTACAAGTGTCTTATCTCTCCTTGGTCGGTTCGGACCATCCCTTTCCCGACCCGGCTATAAGGTTGTGTCGATCCGGTCCCAAACGGTCAAAACCACTTTTCTCACTAACCAAATGTCCGTTTTCAGCGCCGTTTGGACTGGGCCCCAATAATTTGACCCTTGTGGTCGGGATGGTCCAGTCCAAAGACCGTGATCCGGCCTCCAGAAGGCTGCACTGTTGCACTGTCTTTTTCGTTGACTCGGCCCAAGGGAACTGGTCAACTTGTTGACACCAACTGACCGTGTTCGTCGACAGTCCCTGGCGAAGCTTTGGTATAGCGTGGAGGTGACCACAACGGGTCAACTTCCGTCGACGCGGCAAGTCGGTCTTCGACACCGTTCGGTTACAGGGCGCAACTGCCCGACGTGGTATTTGCTTGTCCCCGCGTTCTCATTGGCCGAATGGCCTTCGCCCACATCGCCGCCTCGAAGCGAAGCAGGGCAGCGCAGACTCCGGCATGGTCACAACACATCAGGCGCACGCTGAAACCATCTGACGCCCAGGCCTAGGCCAAACAAATTATTGGGCCCCTTCCTTTCTCCTTCATCAACTGTCTGGGGCCCGCTGCTTTCAGGCCAGCTCGAATTACAGGGCCTGCGGGCGGACACATAGGGGCCTGTAATGTTGTCGAGGGGCCCTAACCGTCGCACTGGGCTGTGGGTGAATCTAAATATTCCAAGGACATCCCTTAAGAAAGGATATGCTTGAAGAAATATTTATCCCTCTATCCCACAAAAGGCTTATCTATATTCTCTTGCTCATTCCAGGATTAACTCCCTAACCCCCTGCTTGTAGTGTTACAAAGTGCCCTCTGCTTGCAGTGTTGCAAAGTGCCCCCTGCTTGCAGTGGTGCAAAAGTACCCTTTGGTCATACTTGCGCAAAAAAAAACACAGAAAAAATGCTAACGTCTTAACTCGAATAGAACATACTGCAAGGAATATGAGCGAGAGCGATAAATCGAAATTGCAAAATCACAAAGTTGCCCATATAGTCATGTACCAAGCAGACTGCTCAATGCACCAAGATACCATCCAAGTAAGAGCAATACAATGAGCTTGTATGTCAATGTCGACGCTCTCTGGCCACACCAACACAGTATCCAATGTCGCTCCCACTGATTGGCACTCAGCGCCCAGCCTACACTAGTCAGCCTATCTAGCCTATCTACATTCATCCAACGGGACACGTCGATGTTGAAGACCAATGTACGTGACGTCATCACCAATGCCAACCGCCAGCATACACCAGGTACGTTCTCTCTCCTCCTCTCATCACACCCTGTCTCCCCTCTGCATGTGCCTCCTATCCGAAGACCCCCATCGTCATCACCTGCTACCGCAGGCTCGGCCCGGCTATGGCCGCCGAGCGCCCGCTGCCACCGCAGCGCCCTCTCACCTCTTAGCGCCCGTGTGCGCCCCAGCCTGCCTGCTTAGCGCAGCATCACACAGCAAAGCAGCAGCGTGGCCGCAATGCCTGCTCAGGCCAGAATGCCCTGCCCAGCGGCGTACACTTCCTTTATGGAAAGTTCGCCCAGCTGCTGGCTGGTCTGGGCCAGGCGTGTAGGGGCCCAGTAGCTTCAGGCTGGCCCAAAGTATCTGCACCCAGGCCCAGTTTCAGATACTGGCCTGGGCCTCGTCCAGTTAGGCACGTCTGGGTAGTCCTTTAGGCTCCAAGTGTTTGCCGCATTCTCATTGGCTCGTGGTAGATGTCTGACGACAATGCTGCATTCTCATTGGTCCGCCGCCACTGCGTGATGTGTCGGCCTCCCACTGTGTGTGCCCAGGGCACAACCACTTGAGCCCTGGGCTCAACTGTTTGACGCAGCTCCTGCTTCTGGAAGGAGCCTGGAAGGCTCACGTTGCTTTGTAACCAACTGGAGTGCTGCAACTGTTTGATACCTGAAAAAAATGTCAAAAATAGGCCTCACATGGATATGCAGGCCCGCCTTCACTTAGGGCGGGCACAAGGCTTGCTGGGGGCTGCAGCCCAGAACATTTGCATGCCTGAAAGGGCCTCGCGGGGCTCAATCCTCACAATACTGTCATTTTTGCTGCATCTGGACTGAAAGTTGGGTCAAATACGGATGTAATGAACGCACATTCTATTCGGGGGAAGACGGTAGGACTTCACCTGGATGTACCCGAGAGTGGTTAGTGTAACTTACTGATAGATTCAGACTTGAGCCCACAAACTTGTAGTGTGAGTCTGCAGTGTATGCACTCCTTTGTCAGTCGTAGGAAGCAAACATGTGCAGGGTGGGGATATCATATGATTGAACTGGCCAGTGCCAGGTCATTAAGAATTACTTTTTCCAAGGCTGTGCCGGCAACCGGCCGGTTGGACCGGACCAGATCCAACCGGGCCGGTTGGACCCCCGGTGGTCCAACCGGAATTCCGGTTGGGCCCAAAAGTGGGTCAATTTTTTTATTTTTATTTTTCTGAAAACATGGTTGGACTCCGCTTGCCGATATCTCCCTGAATCCGCAAAGAAAACTTTGAACAGAGAAGTTTTGTTTGTGGGGTCGGGAGTTCGGGGTGTTATGGTGGTGGGGTTGTTAGTGGCGGGGTGTCAGCAAGCACGGGCTTCGGCAGACATTGACAACAATGTACCTGGCTTTCTGCAAACGTGGACAGACACATACCTGAAGCATCACGAAACATGAAGAAAGCCATACCTCACAAACAGCAGACATGAGCAAACATAGGGAAGATAGAGTTCATCAGAATAGAAGAAGAAGAAGAAGAAGAAGAAGAAGAAAAAAAAAGTGGAAGAAAAAGTAGAAGATGACAAGCTCTGAACTTGTTTCGGGATCATCATTTCTGTTCAGAAAATCTGTAACCCCTCTCTCTCTCTCTCTCTCTCTCTCTCTCTCTCTCTCTCTCTCTCTCTCTCTCTCTCTCTCTCTCTCTCTCTTTGTCTCTTTCTTTTTCACTCAGACTCGCATGGGCTGCACTCCTCGTCAGATTGTGGGGCATTGGCATCGCTATCCGGGTCATCCTCACTAACGACAACCTTCTTGTGAGCCTATGCCTTGTGGCGTCCATGGTGCCTCGGGGATTTTGTAACTGTCTTTTCTTTTTGGGCCTTCCGGGGTCGCCCCGGGCGCTGTTGGGGACTCCTCCAGGGGTGGCTTCCTCTTTCTCCCTGCCCTGTTCTTCAATAGGTTGTCATGCTGCAGAGCCTCATTCTCTGCGGGGAATGGGGGCGTGCCGATCTCCTCTGCAGCCTGTTGCTCCTCCAGCTGCTCCTGCTGCTCACTCATTGTGGCCTGCTGGCCAGTGTTTTGTTCCTCCACTCCCACTTGTTGTCTCGCGTGTGGGCAGGGCCTGCGCTTGTCCACCACACCCCCAGCAGGCTGCTCTCTCGCTGCCTCCGAAGCCTCCTCCTGCTGTTGCCCGCTCTTCTCCATTGCTGGATTAAGAACCCCCATCTTCTGGTGCGTAGATGGTTCGTCCGCTCGCTGCCCTTTGTCACCGCCCTGCTGCACCACATTCTCTTCTTCATGCATTACATTCTTCTCCCCGTCCTCCTTGTCCACGTCCTTCACCGTCTCATCAATGTTCTTGTCGAGTTGTGCACTGTGTCTCTCCCTCTCCCTGGGGGTAGGGAGCGCAGCACGACGGGCCTCCTCCGCACGCATTCGCCTGTCCGCAAGTTCAGCATCCTTGTCCACCATTGCCTTAGCACGTGTGGCCTCCTCCTCGTTCGGATCGTCGTGGGGGTGCAGCAAAAACCCGACACCCATATCCGCTGTATTGACGACCGGCGTTGTCTCCACCTTAAGATCCCTCTCTCGTCCTTGTGTACGCGTGCCAACATATGTGGTTGTTGGGACAGTTGGTGCCTCAAGGAGCTCAAAATTGGCGTCCCCTGCCTCCTCCTCGCTGCAGTCCTCCGATGATGACTCGTTCCAACACTTGCCCTTCCACACGAGATCCTCGAGCTTGCTGATGCCGCTGGAGTCAAAATCCACAAGGTCTTTGGGAATTCTGGCTCTTGGAGCCTTCACCATTCTCCTTCGCCTCTCCTCCTCCTCCTCTTTCTTTGCAGCATCCTCAGCAGGGCCCGACAACACGGATCCATCATTCTTCTCTGGCTCCATCAGCGGCTCGAAGAAGGAACCCAACACATCAATGTACCCGCTGTCCTTATGGCTTCGAGCACACAACAACTACATGTTCCAATGAATGTAGACCAGCTTCTCGAGGGACTCTAGCAACATATTGTTTCGTTCTTTGAGTGGGCGAAGTCCATAGATGTCCAGTTGCGCTCGGCAGGAGTGGTGGTGCTCCACATGCCCATGACCTTCGCTGCAATTTCTTGAAGCTCCGGAACATCCCCGCTGTGTGCTGCCCACCAGTCCATGGGGCTCAACCTCGAAGCATCGTCCTTCGCAACCCTTTTCCACATGGTCTCGCCTTTGCGCTTCTTGGGACTTTCCCTGGTTCCACAATCGACGACACATGCTTCCCGGACTCCTTGTGGAACTCCATCAAATCCCCCCAAATGTTTGAATGTGCCTTGCTGTTCCATTCACCCCAACCAGCCTCACGAAAAAACACATTGCATTTTGCACTAGTGCACTGTCATGATCGAAGGGGCAGCGAGGATTTCTCCGTTGTGGGTCGAGAAGGAATGCAGTTGCATGCATCTGCTGCCTCATCATCTGCATGCAATCCAACACTTTCTCCATCACGTCCTCCGGGTCCTTCTTTGTAAGCACAACACTTGTCAGCTTCCTAGCAATGAGGTGGCCGTACTCCGCAAGATTTGTTGGCGGGGTGCCTTCCTCGTCCATCCTCCTCAACAACTGGTAGACCGGGTGCTTCATGGACACAATCTTCTTTACCTACGGCCACCAAGACTCGGACCTCACAATGTAGTACACAAGGTCGGCCTTCCTACGCAACTTTTCCCCTGACCATCTCAACGATCTCCACTTTGCAGCCTCCCTTCCATCCACCACCTCTTTCAAAACATCCTCTTTGTCTGCCAAGCATTGCAGCATCATGTACACGGATTCAAAGCGGACCTCCACGAAGCAGGGACAAGGTGTCATCAATAGACATCATCAGCCCATGGGTGGCATGATGATTCCTGATGAACTTCACGTTCGTGTTTGCGGTCTTCACAATGCCTTTGATCCACGACAGGTTGGTCAAGTCCTTCAGTAGGAAATTGCAGCATTGTGGCCCGCAAGGAAACCAAGGAATCTTGGCCACCTCCTTGTCCTTGCGCCATTCTAGGATTTGTGTCGCCTTCCTGTTCACCTCTGCGTTGTCGGTGCAGATGGCGTTGATGCATTTCAATTCAATCTCCCTCGTCACCTGCTCCCACAACCTCGCCAATGTCGGGGCATTCGTCTTCCTCTCCATCATTGTCATTGTCGCCACAAGGAATGCCCCTTGCTCCCCGACCGCCAAGGAGTTCATCACTAGCCGATTCTTGCGGTCAGTTGACCCGTCAGTGATGAACGTGCATCCGGACGTGTCCCAACATGCAGTCAATGACACCACCGCCTTTTAGATCTTGAGATAGATGACATCCAACATTATCGTCCTCATGTGGTTGTACGAAGGGAGCTTCACCTTCGCCCTTGCGCTCGCCAGCTCCAATCACACTGCATGCAATGTCTGTATCGTGTCCATATTGAGGAAACTGAACCTCCCCCAGCCTCGTCGACCGCAGCGGCAAGCACATTCGCAATGTCGGTGACAGGCCGGCCTCCAACAGGCGGTGGTTAGGGCCCGTATGTCCGGGGATCATCCAAGCCTTCTACTCCAGTCGGCGCATGATCGCGAAGTACTTCTGATTCAGCACCGCGTCCTTCGTAATTCTTCAGCAAGTACTTTGTGTTCTTGTCATCCGGTTGGACCTTCGCACAGGCAGCGACTAAAGTGTGGATAATCTCCCCCGTCTGCACTGCACACGGCTTCATGGGCTTCATGAAATGTTCGACAACCTTGCTTGCTGATCCCCTGAAGATTGTGGAGCACAATATGCACCTGGTCCAGTACTCCCCACGCCCTTCGGAAGTGGCAACCTCTTGTCCCTGCTCACGCCGGATCCAAACAGTGTTCTTCAACGGCAATTTCATATGGTCCGTCTCAATCGGCCCCTGGAACAAGCTCGGGTTGGTTCCTGGTGTGGGCCCCTTCTCACCAGCAGTTGCGGTACACACTGTAGACTTTGTCCTCTACGTGCTCGATCAAGGCTTGTCACAAGAAGGCACTGCAGGTCCTTTCATCTTTGTCGCTGCAGTTGCTCTTGTCCGACCTCCTCCTTGTGCAACACCCCACGTCATGGCCACCGGTGGAAGACAAGAAGAAGAAGAAGAAGAAGAAGAAGAAGAAGAAGAAGAAGAAGAAGAAGAAGAAGAAGATGATGATGAAGATTAACTTAAGAAAAGAAAAAAAAAATTGTTGCCTATGGCTATGGCTACCAAGGGGGAAGAAGAAGAAGAAGAAGAAGAAGAAGAAGAAGAACTTAAGGGTGAAAAGAAAGACAAATTTTGTCACTTCCCTGCGTTTCCTCTCCTCTTCTGCTTCTGCTGCCGCTTCTTCTTCAGCAGCCTTCTCCTTCTTCTCCATCTCCTCCTCCAATTCCTTCATCTTCGCCGCCTGCTCCTCTGCAATTGTTTTTAACTTAGCTTGCTTCAGGAGCTCTTTCCTCTCCTTATTCTCTTACTAAGGCGGCCATCTTCTCTTGCTGCTCCTGGGTGTAGGGGCTAGTACTCTTTCCACTACGAAGGTCAACCATGGTGACAAGTGCACAACCGAGTCAACGGTTCCAAACCTCACCACTTAGACTCTAACCCCTGACTGACAACCTACTGACTCAATCTAAGACTCACAGAATCTGGATAGGGATCCTGTCAACTAGGGTCTCTAGCCTAGACCTACACTATGGCTGTCACTACTAGACCTGTTGCTGATCAGGAGGCATTTAAGGAGATCCCCCGTAACTCCTCAGGAATTATTTAACGTCGCAGACAGGACGACGTGGTCAGCAGGTCTCTCAACACTTAGACGGCCTGTTGTGCAGACCACAGCTCGGATTTTGGGCCTACCGTGCCACACCGAGCAGCCTGCCGGTCAGTACCGGTCCTTGGGAGGGTTAGGCCTCTGGGACAATCAAGTCGTCAGACACAGTCTTTAGCCCTACTCAGCCCGTGTGGGTTTGGTCAACAAGGCCCTATCCTTCATCCACAAAGTACTATCACCTAGACAGAAGAGACTCAATGCGGAAAGAAGAGACAGACAGACAGACTGGACTTCAGCAAGTACCACAGGGTGTGTGCACATCCATAGGGCGAGGGATAGGCTGAAGGCTTGGCGAGATTATACCGGCTCCAGCTTGGTCAAAGTCTTGGTCAACGGCTTGGTCAACCCCGGTCAATGTTGCGGTCAACCCCTGGTCCACACCGGTCAACTTCTGGTCGACCCCGGTCAACCTCCGGTCAACGCTTGGTCAACTCTCCCGGTCAGCTATGGCTGTCGGCTTCTCCTTCCTCGCCAACCCTCTTCTTCCCTTCACCTTCCTCGCCTCCTTTCACCCTGCTATCTTCTTTCTCTTTCTCTTTTTTTTTTTTGTTCGTCTCTTCCTTTGCCTCTCTCGGCTATGGCTTCTCTCTCCCCCTTCTCGGTCTCTCCCTCTGTCCGGTCTCTCTCCCTCCTTCGTTACTCCGTGGTCAAACTTCGCGGCTATGGCCGTGATCTTCTTCTTCGTGGGACTGCATGGCACACTTCACAGGCAAGTGACAACCAAACTTGTATCGCTCATCTCTCTCTCTCTCTCTCTCTCTCTCTCTCTCTCTCTCTCTCTCTCTCTCTCTCTCTCTCGCCGTAGTGGTATCTTCAACGCAGCAGGTACGTAGTAACCCAATCTTATATCGCTCAACCTTTCTCTCTCTCTCTCTCTCTCTCTCTCTCTCTCTCTCTCTCTCTCTCTCTCTCTCTCTCTCTCTCTCTCTCTCGGTCTTCTCCTTCGTCGTGGTCTTCTCTGCAGGTGCGCGGCGGCTTCTCCAACCTTCAGGTCCGCTATAGCGGACTATGAACCTCGACGGCCACCTCTGCTATGGCGCGTCACTCCCTGCTCACGACGGCGCGCATGGAATAGCGGGTACCAGCTCCGATACCAATGCATTCAGACTCGCTTTCACTCACACTTTACATGCATGCAAACAGTAGCGCGGCAAACTGGCGACATGCGCCCACTCAAAACTCAGAGATATGACAACCCAGATACGAGTTCACTTTCAATGGCTATGGCGACTCAGCGCCCAAACAACTCTCTGTTCGCATACACCGGATCACCCTGGATATCCCACACGCGATACTCTGCACTCACACAAACACACACACACTACACACTAACTCTAGCTATGGCGGCTATGGCCGCAACTACCCTATCGCTATGCTACGCTCCACCTCTCTCGCCCACTTCAGCTCCGGGCTCACTACAGACCTCCTTGCACAAGTCGCTGTGGCAGCGCTTCCGCATGGCTCACGCAGGAATCCATCAATGGCTGGGCGCTGCCTCTTGATTTATACTTCTGAAACTCGTTGGTCTGCCCTCTTCCATCGGCCCATGGTGCTTACAGTCCCTTGTGGTACTTGCTGGACCGGACTGGGACTGACTGGACCTTACCGCTGATTGAATGGGGACTCACTGCCGACCTACCGGAGTCGTACTGCAATTGCACTGCAGTACAGTCCACCACTTGACTCACCACTTGCCCACTTGCCCACTTGCTGACCTTCTAGAAGGACTACAGCTAAGACTTCTATTCCACAGATCTACAGATCGAACCCCTGCTACCTACGGACCTATGACAGCCTACCAACTGTTTGCGAATACAAAGGTCACAGGTTCAACTCTCGGGGTCTACACGGGTACTGTACACAGGTAGGGCAAGGTCTAGGGATCGAGCCCTGGGATCTGTGTCTGCTACTGCAAAGAGGTGAAAACCGTTTCAATGGCTACCAAAGGGGGAGGAGAAAAAGAAGAAGAAGAAGAAGAAGAAGATTCAATTAAGAAAAGAAAGAAGAAAAAATGGTTGCCTATGGCTATGGCTACCAAGGGGGGGGAAGAAGAAGAGGAAGAACAAGAGGAGTAACTAAAAAAGAAAAAAAGAAAATAAAACCTGGAATGTAGCTATGGCTACCGCAGGAGAAGGAGGGGGGCGGAGGTAGTAGAAGAAGAAGGAGAAGAGGATTAACTTGAGAAAAAAAAAAGAAGAATTTTGTTGCCTATGGCTATGGCCACCAAACGGGGAGAAGAAGAAGAGGAAGAACAAGAGGAGTAACTAAATGAAAAACAAACTTAAAAAAAGAAAAAAACCTGGCATATGGCTATGGCAACTGCAGGAGAAGAAGGAGAGGGGGGGGAGGTAGAGGAAGAAGAAGAAGAAGAAGAAGAAGAGGAAGAAGAGCTGAAGTTAAAACAGAAAAAAAAATTGTTGCCTATGGCTATGCCTACCGACCAGGGAGAAGTTGAAGAAGAAGAGCGGAGTAACTAAACAAAAAAAAAAAAACTCTTGAGTGTAGGATAAGGAGGGGAGAGGTAGAAGAAGAAGAAGAAGAAGAAGAACAGGAGGAGTAACTTAAAAAAAAAAAAAAAAAAAACC